AAAGATTCCCCACCACCCTCCTCCCTTTTCATCCCTCACCAATTACCCGCCAAAGAGTTGCAAACGTCCAGATATTGTTATTGTCAAGGTCTGGAAAGAAAGCATTAAAAAAATTATGTTTGTATCTTTTTCTTTTCTTCCTTCCTCTCGCTTCCTTTTTACGTTCTTTTTTTTTTTGGCTTTGTCTTTCTACTTTTCCATCCTTCTAGTGATTTTTGCATGTCGTTCATTTGTTTTCACTTTTCTTCTTTGACTCATCTTTCTCTCTTTCTTTGTTCCTTTTCTGATACTTTTGAGAATGGCTGTGTTGTTTTTTTTAAAGGTCAGGGCGGTGGTTTTTTTAAATAGCGTTGTTTTTTGTTGTCTGTCTTTTTGGTTTCCCATTACTTAAAAAGACCGTCTGGAGTCTTGTTTCTTTTTATGCTTAAAAAAAAGACGTTAAAGCGGGTGGCTGATGGGTGCTCTGGTAAGCTTTGCTTTTTCTTTCCTATCTTACATCTATCGTCCTGATCTCTCCTCCCTTTTTTGTGTTTGTCACTCCCTTAGTAACGTCTCTTATCTTCGGCACTTACATGACCGAGTGTGATAACAGGCACGTTTCTTGAAAGAAAAAAAAAAATTTTAAGAAAGGAAAAGAAAAAAAAAGAAGAAATCAATAGCTACAAATAAATAATAAGTGAATGTAAACAATAATGAAAATTATAAATAAAATAGAAACTCAACAACCACGAGTAGTATAGTCAAGACGCGTACAGTAAATAGTTATCTTTGTTTTCAGCCGTACACATTTTGTGATGTTAGTCAGAAGATTTGAAAGTATTTCCACTTCACATCGCTCCAGCTTGCTCCATCAAACACACAAAACCGCAGTCTTATTCTTTGAAGGATCTCAGGAGTGGAACGATTGTTTGGTCCGGTGTGATTTCCCGTATCTTCTATGGGCTCATTATTATTGTCAACTCAAGGGCTAGATTGTCTGTCTCCTATTATGGTAAGTGTGTGTGTGTGTGTGTGTGTGTGTGTGTGTGTGTGTGTGTG